TGAACACACACCCGGAGCAGTGGGCAGCCATTTATGCTGCGGTGCCCGGGGAGCAGTTGGGGGTTTGGTGCCTTGCTCAAGGGCACCTCAGTCGTGGTATTGAAGGTGGAAGAGAGCGCTGTACATTCACTACATTCACCCCCCACCTACAATCCCTGCCGGACCTGAGACTCGAACTCGCAACCTTTGGGTTACGAGTCCGACTCTCTAACCATTAGGCCACCACTTCCCAAAATAATGATAATAATGATAATAATAATGTTTCTATCATAATGTTTTAAAACGTAATTGTGACCCTGGACCACAAAACCAGTCATAAGGGTCAATTTTTTTAAATTGAGATTTATACATCATCTGAAAGCTGAATAAATAAATATGTTAGGATAAGACCATATTTGGCCGAGATACAACTATTTGAATATCTGGAATCTGAGGGTGAAAAAAAAATCTAAATACTGAGAAAATCGCCTTTAAAGTTGTCCAAAAGAAGTTCTTAGCAATGCATATTACTAATCAAAAATTAAGTTTTGATATATTTACAGTAGGAAATTTACAAAATATCTTCATGGAACATGATCTTTACTTAACATCCTAATGATTTTTGGCATAAAAGAAAAATCGATAATTTTGACCCATGCAATGTTTTTTTGGCTATTGCTAAAAATATACCCAAGCGAGTTAAGACTGGTTTTGTGGTCCAGGGTCACAATTTATTCCTGCAGTGGCAAAGTTGATTTTCAGATTTTCAACAGAAATTACAGATCATTCGAATATGCTGATTTAGTCCCTTAGAAAATATTCTCAATGTTGAAAGAAAATATTCTCAGTTTTGAAAACAGTTGTGCTGCTTAATATTTTTGTGGAAACTGTGATACATAATTTTTTTCAGAAGTCTTATACGAATAGAAAGTTCAAAATAAGAGTTTATTTGGAATAGAAATCTTTGTTCCATGTTTTCACTGTTACTTTTGATTAATGTAGTAATGCATTCTTGCTGAATGAAAGTATTCACTTCTTCTTTCAAAACAAAAAATCTTACTGACCTCAAACTTTTGAACGATGTTGACAGTTCCCTAATAGAAACGTAATGCAGTTCCCCTCCAGAGTCAGAGTCATTTGTAATGATATTTTGCCTGAAGAAGACCTAGATAAGTCTAACATGATTGCATGCCTCAGGAATATTGTGCAATCCAGTTTTCAATTTTAGCTGTTATGAGAAAATTGTTTTGCAGCAAGATAGCAAAGGATGCCATGACAAGAATGTTTGTGTGTTTTGCAGGTGGCATCCCTTTTTGCTTCATATATCCTGGGATATCTGAGTCCGGCAAAAATGCAGTCTGTCTTAGTAACTCACATGGTAATGTAAAGACTTTATTAATAGAGCTACAATATTGCTCATGTTGTCTTTCTGATTCACTGATGAACTGACTGCTCCTCACAGATCTCCTTGGCCGTCTGTTTTCTTCTAATGTTCGGGAACTCGATGCTGTTGACATCCTTCTACGCCTCTTCACTGGTCTCCATCTGGGTGAGTTGGACAGTGTGAAGGCTCGTTGCTGCACTCATTAGCTACTTGCTCCGGAAAGCACACAGTGTGGTATAGTCGGTTCCTAGGACACCAGAAGCTGATGTGTTTAATATTGTCTTGTGTAGAAAATGACCAAATAAGTATCCATGACTAAGTACAAAGTACATACAAATATATGACCTCAAACACAAACATACTGTGAAGAAACATGCAAGATTTACTGGTTGGTCTGCTTTCATTTCAGGGTATAATTGCACTCAGGGATTGGTTGGTTGGTATATTCAAACCTGGACTCTTCACATGGGTAAGAGCACAAGCAGTACTGTGTACTGACTGATGCAGCAGTAAAATGTGCCTGAATTGACTTAAAAAAACAGTTGTGTTTTTGTTAGGTCATGCAGTGCCTTGCATGGGTGGTCTCCACTGTCATTCTGAAGTTCATGCTCTCAGTGATCTTTGGGGCATCAGATGATGTGAGTAAAAAGGAGAGCAGTGCTGTGAAACATCAGTTAGCTTTAGATTTAGGGGTCCGTTGAACACTTTGCAAGGCTTTTGCAATTTTAATTTTGTTTTTGTTTTGAATTATAGGCCCACATCAGCAGTCTGATCAAATCCAAGTTCACAAGCTACAAAGACTTTGACACGATGATGTACACGTGTGCTGCTGAGTTTGACTTCATCGAAACAGAGGTGGGTAATGTGATCTATTTCCTTGCAGTCAGTCATCAGTTTCCCCTTAAAGCTCTTTTTTTATTGGACTTAATGTGTTTGCAGACTCTCATCCGGTACATCAAAACCATGCTGCTTCCAATTAACGTGCTGATTGTGGGTTTTATTGCTGGAAGGGTGAGTTGTTTTCACTTAGATAATGGATGATTTACCCCTCCTACATTTTGGTATGTGTGTCCTGCTTTTATCTATTTGCAACAATATTCTAGGTTTACAGTTTTCTGTCAGTTTGGTGTTTATCAGTTGCTTTAGAGTTTCTCTTTACCTAAGTTTTCTCTTTACTCTTTACTCTAAACTTTTCTCATAAGCGTTTTTGTAGAAGTAATCGACACACTAAAGTTCCCTCCATATGCTTCCTCCTTTTGCTTCCCGAGTTCAGACTATACAGGACATTATTGTGTTTCTCAGAAATAAGACGACAGAAAAGTCAGAGGATGATGAAATGGAGCAGTAAGTATTCTATATAGCTACAGCACTTTACTGGCATGATTGTTGTGAACATGAACAGTGAGCAGAGGGTATGTGAAAAATGTTACATAAAAGAAAATAAAAGGACACAAATAAAAAATGTATAAATTATATTTAATCAATTGTATTCTTTCTGTATAGAATAAAAAAATATACACTATGGTTCAAAAGTATGTACTTTTTTGCTTTGTTTTTTTTTTTTAAGTCTCTTAGGTTCACCAAGGCTGAATTTATTTGGTCAATTATACAGTATTATTACAGTTTACAATAACTTTTCTTTTTCATATTTTTTAATATCTTATTTATTCCTGTGATGGCAAAGCTGAATTTTCTACAGCCATTACTCCAGTCTTCAGTCACATGATCCTTCAGAAATATTTTATTATGCTGTTTTGCTGCTCAAGAAACATTTCTAGTTATCAACACTGAAAATAGTTGTACTGCTTAATATTTTTTCGGGATTCTTTGATGAATAGAAAGTTCAAAAGAACAGCATTTATTTGAAATACAATCTTTTGTAAAATTATATGTCTTTTCACTTTTAAATAATTTATGTCCTTGCAAAATTACTGCAGTAAGGATTTTTCTCTTTTTCTTTCAATCAAAAAAAATAAAATAAATCTTACTGACCCCTAACTAATAAATAGTAGAATATATTTACATTTCTTTGGATAATAATGGCTACTATTTCCTAAATTTTGTTCTTCCATTTTTCAGGAGCCAGGTGCTGGCAAAGGGAGTGGTAAGTTTCTGTAATTTTATGTGTAGCTTTTTATGATTCAAGTTTTTTTCCCCTTAATTGATGTATATAAAGCAATGTACAGTGCATTCATAAAGTATTCAGACCCCCTTCACGTTTTTCAATTTTATGTTGCAGCCTGATACTACAATTGTTTAAATTCATTTTTTTTTCTCATTAATCTACACTCTGTACCTCATAAAAAAGAAAATCTCATGAAAAAGTGGAAGCAAAAATTTAGAAATGTCTGTAAATTTATAAAAAAAACAAAAAACTGAAATATCACATTTACATAAGTATTCAGACCCTTTGCAACAACACTTGAAATTTAGCTCAGGTACCTCCCCTTTCTCTTGATCACTGCTGAGATGTTTCTACACCTTGATCGGAGTCCACCTGTGGTAAAATAAATTGATTGGACATGATTTGGAAAGGCACACACCTCTCTATAAAAGCCTTAGAGCTGATAATGCATATCAGAGCGAAAACCAAGCCCTGAGGTCAAAGGAACTGCCTGCAGAGCTCAGAGACAGTATTGGATCGAGGCACAGATCTGGGGAAGGCTACAAAAAAATTCTGCTGCACTGAAGGTTCCCAAGAGCCCAGTGGCTTCCATAATTCTCAAATGGAAGAGGTTTGGCACAACCAGGACTCTTCCAAGAGCTGGCCTCCTGGCCAAACTGAGCAATTGATGAAGGACTTTGGTTAGACTGGTGACCAAGAAGCTGATGGTCACTCTAGTTGAGCTCCATGATCATATGTGCAGATGGAGGAAACCTAGAGAAGGACAAACATCACTGCAACACTCCACCAATCTGGGCTTTATGTCAGTGTGGCCAGACGCAATCCTCTCCTCAGTAAAGACACATGAAAACACACTTGGAATTTGCAAAACAGCACCTAAAGCACCCTCAGACTGGGAGAAACAAGATTCTCTGGTCTGATGAACCTCAATTCCAAGCATCATGTTTGAAGGAAACCAGGCACTGCTCATCACCTGCAGAGTACCATCCTAAAAGTAAAGTGTGCTGGTAGCAGCCTCATGCTGCGGGGCTGTTTTTCAGTGGCAGGGACTGAGGGACACATCAGTGTAGAAGAAAAGCTCAATGCACCAAAATATAGAGATAGCCTTAATGAAAAACTAGTCCAGAGCATTCAGAACCTCAGACTGGGCAGAAGGTTCAACTTTCAACAGGACAATGACCCGAAGCACACAGCCAAGGCAACAGAGGAATGGCTTAGGGAGAGCTCTGTGAATGTCCTAGAGTGGTCCAGCCAGAGCCCTGACTTGAACCCTATCGAACATCTCTGGAGAGACCTGAAAATGGCTGTCCACCGACGGTCCCCATCCAACCTGACCAAGCTTGAGCAGATTTGCAAAGAAGAATGGCAGAAAATCCCCCAATCCAGGTGTGCAAAGCTTGTTGCGTCATACCCAAAAAGGTGCTTCAACTAAGTACTGAGTCACATTTCAGTTTTTTCTTTTTAATACATTTACAGACATTTCTAAAATTCTACTTTCACTTTGTCATTATGAGGTACGGAGTGTAGATTCATGAGAAAAAAAAAAGAATTTAAACAATTGTAGTATCAGGCTGCAACATAACAAAATTGAAAAAAGTGAAGGGGTTCTAAATACTTTCTGAATGCAACGTATGTGACCCATGGCGATGATATCCAGAGGCTGTTTTTTTTCTTGTGATGTTTGTCTAGCTGGTGTATCACAGTCTGCAGCTGGTGGCGTTTGCATTGCTGGCTGTGCTCATCATGAGACTGAAGCTCTTCCTCACTCCTCACATGTGCATCATGTCCTGTTTGATCTGCTCCAGACAGGTGACCCAACTATTCATTCTCCATAACTCGCCCCAAAATGTCCATAATGCAAGGAAGCTGATTTGAGCAAAAGCTTTTCAAATGTGGTGTGACTAATGTTTTGATTTCATCTGCAGCTGTTTGGCTGGGTAGGAGAGAAGTTTAAACTCCAGCTGACAGTCGTGGGAATATTATCCATCATGGCAGTCCAAGGAGTCACCAACCTGCAGAGTCAATGGGACATCATAGGAGAATTCAGTAACTTCCCTCAAGAAGAGCTCCTGGAGTGGATCAAAGACAACACAAGCCCTAGTGAGAAACTTTTGCTGTTCAACGGCACAAAATGAAGCATCTCACTTCCTGTGACCAGTGTCTGACTCCTGCATCCATGCAATGTTCCTGTAGATGCTGTGTTTGCTGGTGCAATGCCCACCATGGCGAGTGTGAAACTGTCCACAGGAAGAGCCATAGTGAACCACCCACACTATGAAGACGCAGGATTGAGGTACACATGATTTAACATACGCTTCATCTCTACAGTATTTAATTCTCATAATATTGTTTTGTCAATGTAAAGCGTTTGATTTACATTGACAAAACAATATTATGTCAATGTAAAGCGTTTGACTTAATTTGTCCTTATTCAGAGAAAGAACAAAGATGGTGTATGCCATGTACAGCCGAAAGCCAGCTGAGGTAATGAAGCGAAACTTAATAAAGCTGCAGGTGGACTATTTCATCCTTGAGGACTCGTGGTGCACCAGACGCTCCAAGTAAATGCTGCATACTTTGAATTGATACCGCGGTCTGATCAGTTCTTTCATCTCACATGCGTTTCTTCTTCTTCTCCAGGCCCGGTTGCAGCATGCCTGAGATCTGGGACGTGGAGGATGCACAAAATGCAGGAAAAGTGCCACTTTGCACTCTCGTGTGGAGGGATTCACGTCCTCACTTCTCCACTCTCTTTCACAACAACATTTACAAAGTCCTTCGAGTTCCCAAAACAGTGAGAGATGTGAGATAACAGCAGTTTTCCCCTCACCTTACTGTTTTCCTGTCTTTGATATGTGTGTGTATGTACACAGCAATGATTATTTTTGTAAAGGTCAGATGTGTTTTTCTTGAGCCCTGCACTTTTGGTGTCCGTTTTGTTTTGATAAGCTGTAAGAGATGTTTGAACCGCTGTGAGAGAGTCAATCAGTATCGAATCACCCCTTTTCACTTAAAGGAATAGTTCACCCAAAAATGAAATTTGCTGAAAGTGTACTCCATCTAAGATGTAGATGAGTTGGTTTCTTCATCAGAACAGATTTTGTCCATAAAGACTTTTATTATTTCTGACGGCACCCATTCACTGCAGAGGAAACATTGGTGAGCAAGTGATGTAATGCTTAATTTCTACAAATCTGTTCTGATGAAGAAACAAACTCATCTACACCTTGGATGGCTTTGAGTCAATTTTAAGCATATTTAAGTTTTTTGTTTGTTGATAAACTATTCCTTTAACCATCTGTTCTCACGCTTGTTAAAATGTCTTTTATTAGGATGACTGTGATTTTTGCCATCGATGGTGCTGCTGTTTGCCGGTTGCATATGGTCCAGACAATTGTTTACTTAAATCATTTCACTTTTTGTGCATAAAATATCTTTTGGATTTTCAACCGGTGACGTTTTGTAAAACACTTTTTGTGTATAGTTTTAAAATTTACATTTGTTTTGGGCAGATGCTCTTACCAAAGTGACCTACAAAAAGTTATATAGTTTTAGGGAGGATTATGATAGTCTATAGTGTTATTTTTTTTAAATCTGCAAACTTAATTTTATTAGTCAATGGTTGTAAATAAACTGCTTGTTACTCTTTTGTGTGTGTGGAAATCATGATCCGTGTTATGTATTAGAGTAGCTATCTGAAGTATTTTCTCTCTTTTAATGTTTTAAATGTATTGTCATTTGGATCATGTCGGTTTCTGTACTGAAGTTTACCAGTGCTAGTGTTGTGCTCATTTCCCAAGATTAAGGAAATGGCAACAGACAAGTTTTTGTCCCAGTTCCTTTCCTGACGTCATGTAGTAATAATAATAGTCCTTTAAAAACCAAGCTGAAGGACTGTAATCACTGCCATAGTATTATTAAAGAGATCAATTTGTAGCATGTGTTTTGTTGTAATTCAGAAATATCCTTTACATTTCAATTGACATGCATGTGAAGTGTTCAAGACTCGGTTTCTTTTTTTTGTTTTGTTTTTATTTGACCAATTAAATGGTATTTGAGTCAATCATTGAAACTTTTTGTTGTTTTTAAGTATAATGTTCATGTGAATTTTAAGGCGCAGTGTATGTTTTCATCAACTGAACTGGACTGGTCATTTAGCTGGTGAAGAAGTCTATTTTTGTGTTTGTAAATTGCTAATAAGAGTATACATAACTTTAATTTTCATTGAATCGTCCCCATTCACACTCAGAAAAAAAGATTATTTGGTTAGTGTGCCTTGAAAGTTTATTTAAAAAGTAATGATTTGAAACAACCACTTTAAAGCTATATAACATTTGGCCCTCTAGCGGTTAAAAAATAAAACTGCACGAGTCATACTGAAGATGTTTGCTCTTCGTGTACGAGTGTGGATCGAGGCACCGGTGAACGCATGGTTGGTTCATTTTATCAGAGCAGGTTTGAAATTAACCGTTTTTAATGATCTATAGTCGATTTTTCTCGTTCGTTACAATTTCAGATTTATGCTACCCAAACATCTCTCTGTACGGACATGACGTATGCATGAAATTTCCCGCGAAATCCGCCCCGACGGCTCTAAAATAAACCTATAATTATTTATAGCCAATGAACTTGTATTTGCTAAAATAAAGACATAGTTTGGAAAACTACGTTAGACTGCTATATATAGAGAGAGACAGCGCATGCATTTTTTTTAGTGTAGCATTAATATTATTCAGGGGAAAAAAATCCCACCAAATAAAAACCAAGACAAACATTAGATTAAAGACATCAGACATTTCTTTCTTTTTTTCTCCTTTAATAACTTCAACATTACAAAAGACAGCTCTCTCCCCTGTGTGTTTATATTGTACAAATTCAAAACTTTATGTCCTACATTTTCTTAAATCTTGATTTGGCCAGTTCACAAGGGAAACATCTGTCTGAACTGGGCAGAATTCTGTAAAAGTACATGTTTTTAATACATTGTGCAGACAGAAGCTCCGAACACCACGGCAGCAACACTTGTTCAGAGTCTTACTGTGAGGCTAATAAAGCAAGATACTAACCACATATGACTGAAAACCATCTTCCGGATATTCAATTTCATTCCCACCCACAGACTACAGCATTTATTGATTACATTTAACAAGCAACTTGCTGCAAGAGTGAAAGTGTACAGAATGAACGTAGTGATGTACAAATCAAAGAGTGCTTTCACATACAGTATAGCAGTCAGAGGTATTTCATTGTCACTGTGGGATCTATGAAGCTCTGTGTGAGCACGAGGGCAGTAAGCTAGCTTACTACTGCAAACAAATTACTCAATTCAAATTAACTATACTTGGCAACCCCTAAAGCTATAGAAGTTTCCACCACAAAATAAAACAAACAAACAAATAAGGTAATTCTGCGTTTACATCTCACAATTCAGTGTAAAATTAAAAGACATTTCTAATAAAATGAAAATCAAAAAGGAGGACATGTGATTTTTTTTTCCAAACATAAAAAAGTAGTGTGGGGAAAGAGTGCAAAAAAGGAGTTTCCTGAGACTACTCTAGATTAAATAAGTTGTTGTCAGGCCTACAGCCGCGATGGCAAGCCTACCTAAAGTGCACATTAACACCAGTAACAGAAGAGGAAAGAAATGACAGGTCAACAACACTGCAGCAGTCCTTCTGCCCCATCATGCCTCTGTGTCGTCTATTTGACCATTAAATGACCGTTAATAAATTAGTTGATTAACACATTGTAAAAATCATACGTACTAACAATACAAAATTCTATTTTATAACACTAAAAAAAGAGAAACGATGTAAACACATGAATGAATGTGGGGGGAAACGCTTTAACACAATCTGGAGCAATTTACATTACTCAAGTATGAATTTTTCTTGCTATTTATTTTCAGAGTGACTGCAAGAATTGATCTGTTTGTTCTCCTTCTGCACTGTTTTGTTTTAATATAGTATTTGTACATAAATCAAGTAATCTGTCAGACCATCATTGGGAATTACATTTTTACAAGTACAATAATAATAATAATTTACTTTGTATTTAGGTTTAATATGTCCTTCATGTGACATTTTGAAGTGTTCGCTTTGCACGCTCTTTTTCCAGTAGTTTGGAAAGTCAGTCATGCAGCCTAATGTCACCACCTTTGGTCTCAACGAGACATTTTCTCATATATGCATTTATTTATTTATTTATTTTAAAAGCAGCACTCTGCAACAAACAGCATTTTAATATACTGAAAGAAAAATATCTTAGGTGATTTACATAATATATGCATGTACCGTGTATATTTATAATGTATATATAAATACACACACATACAGTATATATTTCGAAAATATTAACATGTATTTGCATGTATATATTTATATTCATAGAATTTATATTATATATAAATATATTTAAAATATAAACAATATTTTTCTTAAATATATACATGCATGTGTGTGTATTTATATATACACTTTATAAATATACACAGTACACACACACAAACATACCCTAAATGTCTGGAATCATGGTGCTTTATTCATATTAAAAACAAATTGTACAAAATAAAAAAGGGTTTGTTGGTGTGATTAAAAATAGAAACTTCGATAAATATACCTGGAAGCCATATCTCAGCCCTCTATCGGGCGTCTCTACCTTTGGCTTGACTTTGGCAGGTTGGAAGGGCACACAGAACAGAGCAACACCGTTCCAGACTAGAGGACTCTGGGAAGGGCCCTGCACGTGTCCACAGTGAGCTCTCAAAGTCTGTCTCTCATAATGACGTCTCTGTATCCACACATTTATCCCCCTGCTCATCCTCCACACTGATCTTAATACTAGCCGTCTTCTCTTCACTGTAAAACAAAGAGAAAAGATGAAGGAAAAATTAACTCAAAGCAGGTGCCCAGCAAAATGTTTCTAAATGTTAATATCACCATACTTGCAACACACAATATCAGATTCAATGAAGCACAAACATGATATATGCAAAAGCAAATCCAGCACACACACACTTTTCACAGGCATTGGTTTTAAACAACGGATAAAGGCCTGGTCACATGAAGATAAATGAAAAACGCAAACTAATAACTTTTATAAAATCCTAATTTTGTATATAAAAATACTTTTCTAAAACAAATATATTAAATATATACATGCATGTGTGTGTATTTATATATACACTTTATAAATATACACAGTACACACACATATATTATGTAAACAAAAACTTATTTTGGATGCGATTAATCGTTTGACAGCACTAATTTATATAAATTAATATATAAAATAGTACATTGGGACTCATTTGCAATAATTAACTTCAATTATTCATAAACACAGTCTTAAATAAGTAGTTGCACTGAATCAAATTGAACAATATACGTTCAAATGAAAACTCGGACAAACAGGCCTTTACTGGTTAAAATCTACAGTTCATCTGTACAGCTTTACATCTATGCAGGAAAAACAGGCTGTGTGTTGAAGCAGTGAGAGGAAACAGTGCTATGAAAAACAGGGATGAGGTTAGAGGAACAAGGCTACCTGGCACTAGGTTTCAATACTTTGGCACTGTCAGAGCTCATGGCGACAGCTTTCCACACAGCAGTTTTGGCCATCTCATCAGATATGTTAACCACAGAGGGGTCAGTGCTGCAGAAAAGACACATCAGAGCACTTACAGCTGGTCGCCCACACTTTAACACACTCCCTTCTCTCCCTGTTCACCAGCACAGTGCCTGATGGCCATTTGATTAATAAAGCATGAAAATCACATCAGATGAACCAAAGACAAACCTTCCCAGCGCAGACCCTGTGTGTTATTTCAGAGGTGAGCATTTAATGTTGTTCAGGAGTAATATGTCATGTTAGTAATCAAAGCAGCTTTGAGTCAGATAGACAAAGTTTTACTTGCTCCCTTGCTGAAAGCTAAACATCAACCTTATGGAACTGTTTTTCTTCTATAAGACCATTCTAGATAAGATAAAGTAACCGTGAAATGGACACGAAGCAGATATGAGACAAAACGGACCAAACTTGCCAA